TATATTACTCCAATAGATATTATTCTTTAAAGTGAGGGTTAAATTGTTAGAGTTTCTAAGTTAACATCATTACTAATAACTCCTTGCTTTCACATTGGAAGGCTGTAAATTACATGGGAGATTATTGCTCATCTTTCTCCACTGGTGGATTCAGATGGCTAGAGAGGCACCACCTTTCAGTCAGCAATGCAACTTCTTGTTGACTGCACCAGCAAAAAAAAACAAACCCTAAAACTCAATGCCTTAACCAAATACTTATGAAAGGGTACTGTTGAAAGAGATATTGATGGTAATTATTTTCCACATAAAATAAGAAATTTTAGAAAACATGTGCTCGGTGTCAGCACAGATATGCAAACAATTTCTTTTTCGTGTAATGAAAAGGGAGCTCTGGTGGCCTAGTGTTAAGAATCTGCACTGCAGTATTAAACGAATTTGGTTTAAATCCACCAGACGCTCCATAAAGGAAAGCTATGATTTGCTCCTGACTCAACTCAAACAACTCAAACATAATAAAAACAGAAAACCAGACCTTGCCTCCTAAATGCTATTATTAAAAAGTATATATTAACAGAGTCATCTGTGATTAAGTACATTTCAGAATTTTAATAGAATATCATTAAGAAATAAACAAAACCCCCATCCCCCTTAACTCAATTCCAGCTCATAGTAACTCCACAAAACAAAACAGTTTCAGACTGTTTTCAAGGTTGTAAAACTTTACGAAAGTAGACTGCTACATCTTTTTCCTTTGGAGTAACTTGTGGTTGTTGAGTACTAATGAGTCAGAATGACCCAAAGCTGACCTTCCATTGGGTTTTGAGAGACAGTTAACTCCATGGGAGGAGAATGCCTATTCTTTTTTCACGAACAGTTGGTGGATTCGAACTGTGTGCCTTCGGGATTGCCTTGCAGTTTCTTACCACTATGTCACCTTAGCTCTGTAAAAAGTTTACTATGAAAATAGACAGTCACATCTTTTTTTCCTTTGGAGTAACTAAATGGCTTCAAATCATGAACATTTTGGTTAGCTTCCAAGTGGTTAACAGTCACCAGCGCTACTCAAAGAATGTTATAGCAGTTATAAAATCCATATTGAAATACTAAAAGAGAAAAAATGATACATCAGAAAGCTCAGATAAATAATCTTCAAGAAGACAGATTTGTTAAAATTTACCATACTGTAATTTGAAATATAACTAGCAATGATGATTGATGTGGAGGACAAAATAACAGTTAATCTAGATTATGTTCTTGATAAAAACCAAAAAAAACACAAGAACAAAAATTACAATTGGAATGGAATTGTCAAATTTTTTTTTAAAAAAATATTTCTGGAATGACAAAAGGAAGGATTTGTAGAATAGGAAAGTTCAGAATGTTCCAGGTAAAATGTAAAACAAGATGTAAACTTCTAGATTTCTTGGCTAAAAATTATGAGATGAAGATTTTTCTACCTTTATCTATTTTTAAAAAGTCAACTTATATAAGAAAAAAAAATAATATTGGCTTTCAACTGCCATTCTGTAACAAAAAGCATCAGAAGATAGCATAAAATTAATGTAAAAAATTTCATGTGAAATGTTTATATACTAGAATGTATTCTAAATTGCAGTAAATTACACGATGTTCTTAATTATTTAAAGATTCAGAAAATATACCATTTGTATGTTATGATATTTTTATTTTTAATACTTGAAGTATTCAACTTAAAGTTAGAAGTTAAAGTTTTTTTTGTGTTTTCAAGCTTTATAAAAGTTCTATTTCTATATGCAGTTTATATTGTTATTTTCTTGATTTGAAATTAGATATTATAATAAATCTATTAAAATTCACCTTTATATTTGTTAAATGTATGTCTAACTCATAATTTTCTAGTTATTATACTTAAGAACAAAACAATAATGATGTGCATTAAGAGGGATTTAATACATTCTTAAATCTTGTTCTTAATTAATTTCCCAATCGATAATATTGTACAATTTTACTGATCTTTTAATATTT